AGGTCTGCAGCGCTGCGCGGGAAACCTGCCTTCTCCTTCTTCTGCTTCCAGGTCTCCTCTTCCACGGAGTAGAGGAGCGTTGCCATCTTGTTGACAGTGTAGATGGTGTCACCCCTGACCACAGCGGTGAACAGGGCTCCTTTGCTGTTCAGGAACTGCCCAGGCAGGGCAGTCCACTGCCGGGACGTCAGGTTGAAGCAGTCGATGACACAACGCAAGAAAAACCTGCCTTCTCCTTCTTCTGCTTCCAGGTCTCCTCTTCCACGGAGTAGAGGAGCGTTGCCATCTTGTTGACAGTGTAGATGGTGTCACCCCTGACCACAGCGGTGAACAGGGCTCCTTTGCTGTTCAGGAACTGCCCAGGCAGGGCAGTCCACTGCCGGGACGTCAGGTTGAAGCAGTCGATGACACAACGCAAGAAATCATCATAGGGGCCGTTGCGCATGACGTAGAGGTTGTCACGATGAGCCACCATGCAGTGCCCATAGCTCTGGTGCCGCTTGAGCTCAGTGACAGGAAGCCACACGTCTTGCTGGGTCTCGTACTCGTAGATGATGGTGGTGTCCAGGGGCTGCCACAAGCAAACGAAGATCTGCCCCATGGCTTGGGCGCAGGGTGCTGCCGTGCTCGGCTGTGGCAGGTCGGATACAAATGTCCAGGTGCTGGAGGCAATGTCATACCTCTCCACGGACTTGAGTGAGATCTTCTCATACTCCCCACCAATGGCATAGAGGTAGCCCTCGTGGCCCACCAGCCTGACGTCGTAGCGCAGCTGGTGAGGGCTGGGGAACTCACTCCAGGCGTTGGCATCAGCGTCGTAGCAGAAGCTGCTTTCTACCACCTGCTTGTTGGCCCCGTAGACTCCACCCACGATGTAGATCTTATTATCCATGGTTGCCATGCCGGCTAGGAATGTGCTGGCACTCAGTGGCAGGCAGGAGAGGGTCCTCCATGCGTTGGTCTCCTCGTCCAGGTAGCAGATGGTCCTGGAGAGGTCCTCCAAGAACTCAAAGGTGGGTGTGTGGGCTCCCACAGCCACAAAGGTGCTGGGTATGAGGGCTTCCACGTAGGCCAGCAAGTCATCAGGGAGGCAGTCCAGGTACTCCTCCAGCTCGGCATAGCTGTCCCTGATGTAGAGTGCGGCGCAATGGAAGAGGTCCAGGAGGCCGAATATGGCAGCAGCTTGGTACAGCAGGATGCAGTTGTCAGAGTTGATGGAGTGGATCAAGTACTTGGCCAAGGGCTTCACCTGCAGGAAGGCAGCACACTCCACCGCCTGGAAGGTCTCCTCACTGCTGAGGACAGGCCTCTCTCCCGCCAGCACCCGCAGCATGGTGAGGAACCCGGCCGCGCTCAGCTCCCCCAGCCCGATCTCCTCCTGGGTGCTCTCCCTCATGCCCGAGCGGAAGAGGGCACGGAAGTACTCACTACTCTCCACCAGCAAGGTCTTCTCGACACAGAATGACTGCTCCTCCACCCGGATACGCACCCGCTCCGGGGACTGTGCTCCAGAGCCTTCCTCCTCCGGGGTCATCCTCGCCCAGGCGCTCTTGGGGGTAGGGGAGCACCCGATGCCCCTCCGTGCCCTGCCCTGGTGCAGCCCCTCCTGTCTCCTCCACCCTTTGATGCCTTTGCGGCGCTGCTCGGCGGCCTTGTAATATAAATACCTTGGGCTAAAGATAGCAGAGCTCGTGACCGGGGCCCTTCAAAGGCATTCACCGAGCTCAGCTGCCCACCCAAACTCAGGCAGGGCTCCGGCGTCACCCACCGGTGCAGGGCACATCAGAGATCCCTGGATCGTCCCATGGAGGATGCCCAGCCACTCCAGGGAAACCAGGTCTTGCTCTTCCTGCTCTTGGGCATCCTCCTTGTGATGCCCTAAAGGAACAGTTCCCATCCCGGGGAGGGCAGCACATTTGTATGGCTAGGAAGAGCATATTGCCACACTATTTTATTTTTCTTTTCTTTAAAAAGTGGAGTTTACAGCCACAGGGAGGTAAATGACATCAGCAGATCTTGGTACTGTCCAGTCTGGCCATGGGAAAGGGACTGCCCCCTGAGCATCACCACAGGCAGGGAGAGACCTTCCTTTCCAACCCTCCCCAGGATGGAGGCATCAGCAATCCAGACAATGTCCATCCTGGGCACAGGGAGCCATAAACCAGCCTGTGCTTCACCTGGGGATCTCACAGTGAAGAAAATAACGTGCAGCTACTCCTTCTCAACCAAAAAAACTCCCCTCTGAACTCAGGGCTCACCTGCTCTCCGTAATGCCCATCTGTAGGCAGGGACAACCCCTCTGGGACCAATGTAGGGTTTGACAGTGAGGTGTTATTTGTGGCACATGGCTCATTTGTGTGCTATTCACATTTTTTTTCTGGCTAGAAACCCCATTTGACCTCTTCCATGGGGTGCAAGGAGGGCTGGAAACAGGGCTCTCCCGTGGGGCTGCTTCCTGGATCTCCCCATTACCACCTGCAGCTGGTGTTGGTTTTGATGAGTAGTTTAACATGATGTGTAGTTCTGATGAATAATTTAACCTGAGCAGCCCACCCTGATGATGGTGTGTGTATTTTATCCTAAAAAAAGCCCCTCCTCCCGGCAGGCAGGGGCTCTTGTGGCAGCAAAACCACTGCCCCAGGGTTGTGGCATCAGCCAGTTCCCAAAAAATATCAGTTTGGGACAGAAGGGGAGAGCTTTGTGCATGTGCTACTGTCATTGATCCTCATGGATAAACAGCTAAAATATCATGTTTAGCTCAAATTTCTTTTAAGCATCTTTGACCTGTGTCCAAAGGGACCCTAGGGGCTGGGAGTCCCCAGAGAGGCTCTGCTCCCTGCAGAGGAGTGATCCCCTTGATCCACATCCTCCCCATCCCTGAGGCTTGCAGGACTTCCACACTCCCAGACTATTTTGGGAGGGTTTAAAAATATCCTGCCTGCATTAACGGGCAATATTCCCAGCGGCACAGCCCGGCATGGCCATGGAGCAGCCTTCGGCCCCGGCCCCAGCCAGAAACCCCTCGGGGGGTGCCCAAGGGCCACATCCTGCGGTCCGGGCACCGAGCCCCATCCCGAAGGGCTGTGATCGCCATGACAACACTGACTTCAGCCTCCACCACCTACTCAGGCTCAGAGCCACTGGTGCTGGCTGATGGATTGGTGCGGGCGTCGGTGAGTACTCCCCGGGCTGCCTTTTCCCCTTGGGATCACATCTTTTGAGTGGGTAAAGGTTTGGGCTTTTTCCCCCTGCTAAGCCTCTGCTGGCAGCAGAAGGTGTCTGTGCTTAACTGCATCCAAAGGAGCCAGGCAGATGCTGGGAAGGGTGGCCGGACATGCAGCCTCACTCCAGGGTGCTGCTCCTCCCTGCCAGAGGTGTGATGAATTCACCGGCCTCAGCCAGGGCAGCAGGACCAGGCTTGGGCTTGCCGAGGACACGGCACGGTGCAGGGGGCTCAAGCAGGTGCTGGGACACAGCAAGGTGCCCCGTGGAAAGGAGGCTGCCAAGCAGGGGCACAGCAGGTTCCGGGCTGGGTGGCTCGGCGTGTGCC